CTTTCCAAAGACGGCAACGTCTAGTTGCAGGACATTTCACCGCTGCCTAGCTGACTTTAGCGGCGGCAGCCGCGACTGTGTCGTCGTCGAAGTCGGACGATTCGACAAAGAAGAAGTCAAAATAGTATGGAAAAACGGAAGAGCTAGCGGCAGCAACCGAGAGGCCGAACGAGCCGACAAGACGCTAGCCGGTTGAGAAGTGGCGATCTTACCGAGCCAGCTCCGGATGTTTGAGCGGAAATTGGAGCTGGAAGCTTGTTTGCCAATTGTGCGTGTATATGTGCTTCTGTGTGCTGCTACGCCTTCCTGCTTGTGCATCTTGCTGCCTTTATTTCCCTGTAACTCCTTTCTGGTAGCCCCTATCGGTACGCCGGCTGTAACTGTTTCGTCGTGTCTACGCGTGATTGCGTATGGGAGAGTAGTAACATATGTGTTGGCTTTCGTCTTGTCCCTCGCCTGTGTCTGCCGGTCGCAATGAATCGTAAAGGCCAGCCAGAGATCCCTTTGCCGTACAGCAACGACGGCAGTTACGGAGACTATGGCCAGCACAAGCCAACCGAGCTATCTTCGGCTCAGCCACGCTGTCTGTCGCACCGGTTTCTGTCGCTTTCATTTCTTCATCTCAGCATCATCTTTGTCTCCACCGTCTTGGTCGTCTGCGTTGCCCGATGCTGCTTACTAGCAACATCGACATTTAGAAAGGCCCAAACTAGCCAAGGCAGCACCCTATTGAGGTGGTGGCGCCGGGACCCTGGACGGAATTTTCATGCTTGTTTCATCCATTGTCTCTTGGCAGTTCGTTGCCGCTGCTTTGCAAACGCGAACGAACAAACGCACAAGTACCGCTTAAGTGTTCGGGCCGCCACCACCCCTCTATCGCCGCAGTTACCGGGGTGCTTCATCTCTTTTCGGAATAGGGGAAAGGGAGACTGCCGAGGATGGTTAGCCGAGCCCCACTCAGGGTCCGACGAAACGGCTATTTGCCACCTCCAAAGAATAAAGGTACTGAACGGATCACGGGCTGCTTGAGGTACTTCGTTAAATACGAGAATGAAAAGCTAAGAAGCAGAGGCTCATGCACACATGGACAATGTAACCGCCATATCTCGCTACCAAGTGCCGTGAAGTTTGAAAACACAAGTCAATAAAAAAATTAGCTCAACCCGATTAACTTACTCTATATGAGAGTACGTGGAGTACATGCGATTAGTTATCGCTTTGAAGCCAAACTGACATGCCACAATGTGCACAAAGAGCAAAAAGTGTTTGATCTGCACATTTGAAAGAACCACTCTAAGCGTGCCATAAGGCTTGCCAGAGGCATGTCGGAATAAAAAGTCTCCCTTCGCATCAGAAAATGACAGATGATATTGGTATTTTGTTACGTAGTATAATGCTCATGTAAAAAAAGCATTTGTTTATATGTAAGTTAGAGATGCGTTTGAATTTTCCAGATGCAAAAAAGTTTTCCAACTAGCGGATTTCTTTTTTACAAACTTTGATTAAGCAAATATGAAATAAAGCTTAAGCTTGGGGACAAACAATTTTAGGTAATCATTGATAGCCACTGTTACCTCTGAATACACTTATCATCTAACGTCAAATTTAATTTTTTAATTTTTCTCTTTGTTTTTTTTTGATTACCCATAATTGTTTGTTCCTAAGCTTAAGCTTTATTTTGTATGTGCTTAATCAAAGTTTGTAAAAAAGAAATACGCTAGTTGGAAAACTGTTTCGCATCTGACACAAGAAACATGATTAATATGAAGTTTAGTCGCAGCATAAAACAAAAACCAATGAAATAACTTACGTTTACTATGTATGCTTGCGAACCATAGTTGCTTCAGCTAATTAAGTGATTGACTAGGCCTGTAAATTGTAACCAACATGTCATATCAATGATCGTGTTCTATTATAGTTTTACCCATTTAGACGCTGAACGACAATACTTTTACTGCTTCTTCATTGACATCAGAACAAGATATCTTTTGGGCTCACTTTTACCTGCTAACTCACGCTGGTTAACAATAGCCAAAAGTTGCCAAAAGTAAAAAACCGTTCATTGTCCTCTCTTCTAGCCTCTGATTAAGTGTATTTACTGACGGAAATGAGTGGGCATATAGCTGTTACACGCCGCCAATCGTTAGTTCAGCAAATAACCTAATTGCAAATAGAAGCTGAACTCGTTGGTTCGACGCAGCTTCCTGGGTCACTCTTGACTCGCTCAGCTGTTATGAGAATATAATGTCGAACCAGGTAGAGGTCCAGTTCTGGATAAGGCATCAGAAGGACAACCACAACTACTACCAGAAGCCATAAATCAGCCAGAAATCGCTCAGCCCCAATTACGCCATCGTCATATGGAAAATGTCGTTATACTAAACGCTCAAGCAACGACTAGGAAGTGGCCATCGAAGTGTGAATGAATAAGAAGAATAAGATCAGTCAATAAGTAACCGGAAAAAAACCATGCAGTAACTTAGGCTTTATATACACGCACGAACTGTGGCTGTTCAAACGCTCACTAGGATCTTAACACAATTACGGGATCAATAGGCAGGTATATTTATCATACACGCAATGATCTGATACAGATTCGGCGCATCAATTATATTTCACTTAAATCATGTTATCGGAAGGACATTTTTTGTGAGAAAAAGGACAATAGAGGGAAAAATAATTGTTATATTTCTCAAGTGTAACTTAGTACCTTTAACGAAACCCACTGATTTATCTTACAGATACATACTACAGTTATAAGTAAATACATTGGGAACTGTCTGCGAGAAGGAGCTTTTTTGTGGCATTTGTACTTCGTAAACTGCGGAGTCGATTCCTCTCGCTCTTCTTTTGCCCTACCTCCTAGACCAGGTAAATCACCGCCGCAAAATGTTTTTCCTTTTCGACAAAATAAAAAGGTCCAGGAACTAGATGCCGTCTTCCTTCTGGGAACGACATAACGAAATCATCGGCGAGCGTGTATCGTTGTTTCTTCCAGCCGTATCATATACGTAGCTGGGTATAATTTTTTTCAAAATGCTTCTGTGCCTTTTAAGAGTGCCGGAGCAGCGTCTGTGCTGAATGCATTTGTGTGCGTATGTGTGTGTGCGCGTCTACGCATGTTCGCGAATGCAGAAACGGACTCCGACTGGCGTTTCTGCTGCTGACGTTGGCGACTACGGTTTCTGCTGGGACGCACCGTTCGTTGAGCTGTAACCCTGTATGATGACCATGGTCGTTCAACAACTTTTTACTGCCCTGAAGGCAGAGTTAGAGCGCAAACACATATTCGAATATTTCGAGTCGCCTTCCAGCAATGCAAGCTTGCTCGAAGCTGAAACGGCAAGACGTCGCGCTCTCAACCGGCCGCCGGCGGCGCTTTTATAACGGCGAATATAGATACGGACTCCGCGCGTCTGAAGGCCACCATGCACGGCCAACGGCGTGCACTCAGTAGAACAGGCACGATACCGTAGCAGGCAGTATCCGCCGGCATCGACAGGCCCGCTGCTCGTACAAGTAAGTAAGCATACAGAAATGTTGCTCTGGGTCGCACTGGAGTATTTTACAATGATCACAGCTCCTACAAGGTCGCTGAACTATTGGCAAGTCGTTGGCTCGCGAAACATGCTTAGAAGGTTCATCCATTAGGTGAAAGCGCAGCGAAGAAGCGCACGTTTAAAGACAATGGTGGACCACTGAATCCATGAAATACAAACTAGACAACTGGAAAAGCATTTCAGTCGAAAGAAATGGCGAGAAGATCTTACATTTTATTCACGATTCGCGACACAATGAAGCATAATACATTTATTTATCTAAATGAAAGAGACATAAACGAGAACTCTGTGACCGAACAAAGGGCCTCTTTGTATTTTGCTGTCTGTGAAGAAGCTTAAAAGCTCAAGCGACCTGTTTTATCCAAAATAACCATTAAAAAAAAAACTGAGTTCCTTAGCTGTTTTTGTAAGAACAACAAAGAGAAACATGTGCAATCGAGGCCAACTATTACATACTGCTTGAGCACAAGATCATTTGTTGTAAGTTTATACGAAGTAATAATGTGTATCCTGTTTTCAGACATCCCGCCATTTGGCTAACAGGAGAGTGATTAATCTTTGTTTCGACCGCAGCAACTTAAACTATTTTTCTGTGTAAATAATAAGTCTTTCGCCAAACTGACACAATCACTCTTTTTTTCTGGCAGAAATCGCGTCGCTCGTCGTAAGCGGCGGAATTCAATTTGACCGAAGAAGCTACTACGTAAAGTACTGCATACAATCGTGCACCGACTACAAAATAGCCAACGATGATTGGGTTGTTTACTGATCAGTTGTAGTAAGTTATTAACGGCAAGAATCGCTCGGCCGCCTTAAAACGATAATAAAGGCTTCGTCATTGGTTGGTCATTGGGGAAGTTGGGTCAACGCAAACGACATATAAGCTTAGTTAATATTTTCTGTTCATATCACAGTGTGTCACGACTATCATTTCGCAATTAAGGCTTGCTACGAAATATTGGCCGCTCTGTTCGAAGCAACGACGGTTTGAAACGACCAGCACCGCCACGATTCGAGGTGCATCCAATTCAATAATTCCACTTCCAGGAAGTATCGTCGTCGCATGTTCCTGTCACGGGACGCCACTGCAGTTCAGTTACAAATGCTCATTATCGATAGTCTTTTACATTGTTCGAGTCTTCCTCGAAGATCAAAATGTGTCGGCGCATAGAGTCGAACGCAAACCATCTCGCGGTAATGTGTTTGCTTCCGGTTAGTAGTTGAACCATACCAAGGTTGAGACTGCGGTATTGTCAGGTCCTGCTGACTACAACTTTCATTTTTTACTCCGCGGTAAGTAACATGGATAAAATGGGCCACGTTAAATGCGATGTTAAAGATGACTGTCTTGCTCGTTATCACGATAAAGTGTCGATTTATGATTTTCTTTTAGATAACAGTTCACTAGCCAAAAGGTTTCAGTTATAGTAGACGACTTACCCTTAACATGGTCTTGGTGAGCTCGGTCCCCAGATGTTCGCTGTCGAGGGACTTCCGACCGTTACATTTAGCCGTGGGTAGAGCTTTTGTGTACGAACTTTTTTTGTTGACAAGATCTTTAACTCCAAGCTTAAACAGCATAATTGCATCGTATATCAACGCGACCTCCGTCTGAAACATATTGAAAATCCACGCTCACTCTGTTATTGCCATATCACACCTTACAGTGCATCAAATTCGTATGAGACCTCAGCCTCACACTCTTCTTATTCCCACCAAACTCGATTGATTGCTACAGCGTATCTCTAAATTGCAAGACACATCCTTCCATGGCACGTTTTAAAATTAGCGAACGTTTTGTTTCGCTAGTTGCAATGCTTGCACAAATCGACAGCAGAAAGGCCATGCAGGCCAATGAAGGATGCCCTTCGTTCGCATTAGATCGGCGATTTTTTCATTCCGACAATTTTTAAAGACAGGAAGTCCTTAGCAAATTGTCAGAATGCGCACATTTTAATCGCTAACCATTCGTCGTTAAGGCTTCATTAAGTGCTTGGTCGAAGAAGAGTGATTCACTTTTTTCTGCCTGGTGAACTTGTGTTAGAAAATTAAGTTACAGTTATCCTTTTCGGATACGCGTGTGAAGCTCGAGTCATTCATTAGAAATCATCTCTGGCATTTTATTTCTCTATTGAATTAGAAAGAAGACCGCCCCCCTGCAGGGCACACACTTACTACGCGTTGTTACCCATTCGTACAACGATAAAATTAGAGGATACATTTTAGTGGCAAATAAATTAGATGCGGTTTTAAATTTCTTGTTAAAAAGTCGTAATTTAAAAAATTAACTACAAATTTTCTTCTTCCGTGAATTCCTAAACTCTGGAAACTGTTGCTCGATACGAGTGGGTTTATTAAAATCTGGGAACGATGCATCGCTTAGCTCGTTGGGCCGTCTGATGGAGACGCACTTGCAGAGCCAGGTTTAGCGTAAAAACAACATCCGAAGCATTAATTATCTTTACAGGCATTTGGTTCCTGGAATAATGCGCAGCGGTAGTAACAGACGTGAAGCTCAAGATAGGAAAATATGACAATAGACAGAGCCTGTCTTGATCTTCGGGACGGTCCCTAATATATTTTAATTGGTCTCTTCGTTGGAAGCTGGCCTTTTGCTGGCGATTTAATGCTTTAGCATAGTTAGTTGTCAGCGTAGATACCATAAAGTGTGTTTGGATTAACAGTGCGCAGGTAATATTATAAATGTCTTGCTACTCTTTTTTTTCGGCTCCAAAAGCAGTAAGAAGCAGGAAAAAGGAGACGAAAGAAAATGGCGCTCAAGGCGGTTAGTCTAACAGGAACGACGAATTATATCACTGCAAGCGAAAGCCGTCAGTGGAGCTATTGGGCTGTGCTTGAGCTGAATGTTGGCCCAAAGTCGGCTGGGGTCATCGGGGACGCTCGTTAAAAAGGCCCACGTCCAGCATTCGGGGCGAGGATCCGATTGCCTTATGGCGGCAATGTCCTTATAGAGCGACAACGTTTGGCTAAATTGCGCCGATGGGATTAAGTCTCCTTATTCTTTCACCTTCGAACGCCGTAATAGAGGCAGTTTTTACTTTCCTCGGTTTCACCTCTGTGAAACAACAGGAACAGCAGCTCAAGCTCACATTCGCACGCTAGCAAAGCATAAAATGGTACCGATGCAAAAAAAAGGATAGTGCAAACTATACTCACAAAACTGAGAAGGTACTCACAGACAGCAGAGGACCGTTAAAACCTATTCAATAACAAGTTCAGCCAGTTAGGCCATGCAGAACGGTGACATCTTCGGGCTGAAATGGCTCCGATCTGATATTACAGCATGGGGCATCGAAGATAATTGTCACATCACCAGTATGGTAACGATAGCCTCAAATACACGTTCGGTCAATGCTAAATTATTTCGACATATTATGCCTAAGTGTTTTTTTTTACATTCACATACACATGTGAGTCCGCAGCACGCTAAATCGATTCTGGGACAGCGACGATTGTCGGCTTACGTTAATTTTTTAGTATAAATAATTGGGTGGATCAAACGCGTGCCTCCGACATACATATTTAGGGGCAAGGATAGTACCCTCCGATATTTCTGTAAGCTTGTCGCAGACAAAATGATACGAGGAATAGCGGATGGAAACTTCCAAATTTCTAATGTTGTACCCCTCTATAGAAACGTATCTGGGGCAAATTACTTTATAATAGCGGCAGTATCGGTCAGTTGTACGGTAGTCAGTTGTATGGTGATTGATGGTAACGACACATTACGGCGGCAATCAGCTTCTTGCTACCAATAGTTACTAAACATCAATTATAAACCGTACTGAAGATTTGTATTGCAGTTGATACTGTTATTACATGTTTCGTAATTACAATTATTATATAGAAGAAGAAATTCTGTTACGAAATTACAAAGATACGCTACGAATTAGCGTATCTTCGTGACATACTGTTACATCGTACTGCTCGATAGCATATTATATAACAAAGGTGGCAACACATGACATTAAACTTGACACGAAGGTAAATTTACTTGATGCATTTTTCAACCTAACTAACTTATTGCAATAACTCCATCTAATGAAGTGAAGAATAGATTTGTCTAACGTATATTTAGACGGCTTAAGTCACAATTGCATGTATACTAGTCTTCCAATATTTCTAGGTAATCTTTCTTGAGGGAACGTGCATTACAAAGTAGTCCTTCCATTCCAAGATTATTGCCTTTCGGCTATGTAAATAAATAAAAATTGAATCGATATTTATAATGATCTATAGATATCCGGCATATGGAAACAATTGGGAATTTTTGTCAAAGAAAAATTTACCCTAACTTAACATTAATTGATTAAGGAAGTGCATTCTAAATTAGCAGATGGCCAGTCCAGCGACATTGTCTGTAGGGTAATCTCAGCCCCTTCAGGTAATTATCCCAAATGCTATATTCGTATATTTGGCCATTAAGCCCTAAAGCGTTGCAAATCGCATGTGTAACAAAGTGTCAACGCACGTACAAGCGAGCTAAGCAATGTCGAAGGGCAAATGGGTGTTATTGATGCGTCTTGATTACAAACGTAACCGTAGCGTCCGAGGTGTGTACCATTATATGACCCCATAGCGGATTCCACTCAATTACTCTGGAGAGGCATGATTTAGCCCATTTAATTAAAAGATCAGCTGGTCTTTTCCTTACTCAAGGTGCACTGTCCGCAATAATTTTGTGCTTCAATAGCCTATGAGGTGCATTGAAGACATCAATGTTACTGAGCAATATGTGGTGCTTGTTGTCGATAGCAAGGATTTGATGGGAATCAGGTACCACTGTCGCTGCAGTTCGGGTTTTTTGGATCGCTCTTATTCTGGCACATTTTCTATGAGAGCGGCATTTCGCATGTGACGAATCTAAAAGCTTGTAATAAGCTGCGTGCAGCCTGACACTTCATTGCCGCCCAGACCAGCTTGGAGCAACGTTCAGTCGTCTACTCCTTTCTCAGCACATCTAGGAACATGCTTAAAAGGACGAACGATTTAAATTTGACGTTAGTTTACATAAATACCAAGTATTTAAAAGCAAAATGGCTATCCGTTTCGGATGCAATTGGGAACATAGGAAACTTTTTTGAAAGTTTTCAATATGAAAGTTTTAGGCAAGTCCCTATTCTGTTCAGTAACCCTATGGAGTATCCTGAATGTCGAGTATTTCTAAGGATCTGTCGATGTATGATGACTTTGTCCCCAGGGATTTATACCTGCAATCCCTGCCGTTTCCTGCCTTCATTGGCACTAAACAGCATACGTCTAGTTACACCTATCAGATTAAAGAGACGTAGCTGGATAGCGCTGAGATATTACCGACCTGGCCATCATTCATGTCTCTCACCATCTCTTGACTGACCTCTTTGATCAGTTTCAGCATAAAACATTAACAAGCCCGTCGTGCTGCAGCACCCCTTTTTCCATTCGTCTTTAATCCCCCGTTCCAGCCTGTGAAAGCTGTCGGTCTCCATAGCTGCTCTGACGAGATATGTGTGGGATTTCAGTTTTCCTGGATCAGGCTGACGTGGGTTGGCCTGGCCTGTACTGGCCTGGCTGGCTTCATTGCTTAGACTGCTCTGCTTGAAGCTTCTGGTTAGTCAGTCAGCTCAACAGGACAAGGCACACTGGATACGACCCATAGAGAATGACAAAACCCCATAAAGGGAACCCATAGGTCATATGAGATAGTAGCGTATAGGAACCAGGAAGCATGGCCTAACATCTTGCTGTCTAGCATATCTTGACCCGCCCGAGGCGATACATTAGTGACAGGCAATTCGTTTGTATATATCTACAAAGTCGACTTAAACAGAGACGAAAAGGCATCTGCCAGACGCCTTCCATGGACAGCATGCTGAAAAATCTATATAAGACACAAATTCAAATTTCATAGATCCTATATTTATCACTCGAGAGATAACTGTTCACGATAGTCTTTTTGGTTGCGCAGAAAACAACGCTTACGCATGGAAAAAGATACCCAACAAAAGGAAAAAAAACTTCCGTTGCCTTTTTTTGTATCAATAATGGATAGACTATTGCTTGGCCTGTAAGGAATAGTAATTTCATTCCTTTGTTTGTTACTAGTCAGGTGTTGTGTACAGTTAAAAAGCTTTTCGGTTGCTTGATTGGGTCATTGCCGTCCCATTTGTTCAGATCGTAAGACTCTTACGTTGGAATCCAAGGATGGCTATGTCCAGTGCCGAAGCGTAGCGCGTCGGGCACTTTTTTTCAAGTTGTGAAAATAACTAAGTCTGTTTGTTTCGTGTTCAGCTAAGACTCTCTAGCTCACATATCTGGGGTTATCTTACAATTGCTTTCCCACAAAGATGATTCAGGGTAAAACTCGACGAAATCGAGAAGTCGAGTGGAGTGCGCACTCTAAGTTGAGGATGTCGTTTTTAAACTTAGCAATCCACCATTGAGTAGTTTTAGTTGTAGTCCCTACCAGAAAATCCCCGTCGTACACACCGCAGCTATTACAAGTTGGTTCGGCAATTTTTCTTTCACCTCGCTGAAAAACGCATAAGGGCTATTTGAAAAAATCTATTCTCTATGACCCGGTATATCTTTGTTTGGAGACTGAAGTGCTG